CGTGGGTGTTTATCCAGCCTTGGCTCAGAGGGGTGTCCTCTGCCGGGAGGACTCTTGGCGTCTCTGGAGGTGACCGGCTGGCCGCTAGGGAGCACTGCATCCCTGCCTTTCCTGATGGACAATCGAGGTCTGAGCTAGCCCCTCAGGCTCAGCATTCCCAGGGCTCCACCCCACGGGAACCTGGGCTTGAGCCGCCAGGAGAGTCCCCAACCCCGGGCTGAGGCATCCTGTAGCCTCCCTCTTCTCTAAGTCTCCCATCACTCTCTGATGCTGTGGATCATGCCTTGGCTTCCCCCTCTGGGCAGGAGAGAGGGAAAGGGAACCAGGGACCAAAGGTGGTCTGGGCGTCTGTTTGATGCTGGCGCCCATCTGGGGCTGGGTTTTCTGTTTTTCTATCCTGCGGACACCAGTGTCAGGCTCAGGGCTCGGCAAGGCCTTGCAAACATGCATCTTTAACCGCAGAGTACTTGTGCTGAAAGCACTCACTGAGATGGTCCCTGCCCTGTGGTTCTCAGACTGCAGAGCCCCAGGGTTTGGTGAAGGGGCTTTCAGGTGAGGTTTGAGGAGGAAGCCCCCACGTCGGCCTCAAGCACAGTTTTATCTACTTTAGATTTGACAGACCTGGTTGATTTTGCAGCTGAAAAAATAAAGATGTGATTTTTTTCCAGATTTCCCATTTTGTGATGCAGAGCTAGAGGCCTAGAGGAGAGAATCAGCTTCTTCAGTCACAACGAGAGTCAACAGCTAATAATTATAACTGCATTTACTGAGGACTTACTGTGTGATAGGCACATGATACATATATAATCTCCTTCCCTGGAGCAAACCACCAAGTAGGAATAATTATTACCCCCATTTGATAGGTGAGGAAACTGAGGCACCGTGAGGTGAGATAACCACGGAGTTAGGAGATGATGAGCAGGAATTTGAACTTGGCTTGCCCTCGTGAAGGCCGCTCCCTTCACCCTGGGCTGCTGCACTGGACGCAGGCTTCCTTGATGGGTGGCGTACAAAGGGGTCTCCACTCCTGCCTTACTGGGTCCGCTCCTCCATCTGGACCTGGCGTCTTCAACACAGCTCTGGACATCTGGCTCAGAGCCAGCCTCTTGGCTTTGGCAGGTAAGGCAGGGATGGATGGAGATCCAGGGTACATGTCTGCCTCCATGTCTGGGGCTCCAGAATAAAGCAACGGCCCACTGAAGGCTGAACAAATAGAGGACCGAGCAAGGCCTTTGAAATGGAGACAGCTGGGGTGGGGGTGTGGGGTAGGGATGGAGGAACACCATACTGATTCACACTTTCTCTTGCAGAGCATGTGTGTGCCCTTGGAGGTATCACTTAACCTCCAGGAACCTCATCTGTCAAATGGGCCTGTGTGTCCTGGCCCCACCACTTCTGAAGGCTAAAGGGAGGCTCTATGAAGGGAACAGTCATGGAAACACCTTTCTGACTGTAAAGTGCCACATGCCTGAGAGGGATGGGTGTTTCGGTAAGGGCGTGGGTAACCGAGTCGGGAAGGTGTGATGCTGCCCCCTTTCACCTTATGTGGAACAAGGCAAAGCAAACTTGGGGCTTCCCAGGTGGCTTGGTGGTAAAGAACCCACCTGCGATGCAGGAGATGTGAGTTCAATCCCTGGGTCGGGGAAGATCTCCTGGAGAAGGAGATGACAACCCACTTTTGCTTGGGAAATCCCATGGACAGAGAAGCCTGGCAGTCTACAGTCCATGGGGCTGCAGAAAGAGTCACAGCGAGCAACTAAACAACAGCAACAAGGTAAGCATGCAGACAGATGGCTTCTCTTGTCTTTCCCCCGCTGTGTGTGCAGGGGTTCGCCAGCCCTCTCTGCCTCTCCGTGAATCTTCTGAACAGTGGGACTGTGGTAGCTGCTCGGTATGGACACTGCTTTGTTGCTCGGCAATAAGGAAGGAGCCGGGGGGTCCCAGCCCCGCATGCGGCCGCCACTATGGGGTGTCCCCTAATGGGGACCTGGAGTCACAGCTGGGACAAGTGGCTTCTCTTGGCTCCGTCACTATAGCCTGTGACCTTGGCAAGTCACTCACACTCTTTCTGCGAGCAGTTACACAGGGAGGTACTGTCTCCTCTTTCTGTCTCAAAAGGTGTTTATTTTGAGAAGCAAGGTCAATAAAAGATGTGAGGATGCTTTTGGGGGGTGGGGGAGCAGAGAAAGCCTGATACAAGACTAAGAGCTTCTTTTAACCATCATCCTACTTCTGATGCTTTTGTTTTCTCTTCCAACGCTTGGCCTGGTGCGAACCTCAGAGCGGACGCTCAGCAAAGCCTTAATGAATGGAGACAGGCGGCTTGTAGAGCGAAGCAAAGGAGGCCGGAGACCTGCGGCTTCTCCCACTGACAAGCTGGGAAATTTGGAGCAAGTTCCTGACCCTCTCTGGGCTTCCGTTTCCCGGTCTGTAAACAAGGAGACTGGACTGGGTCCTCTCTATGGATCCTTCGGGCTCTGGCGGCTCTGAAGTGGGAATGAGTGAAGTGCTACTGTTCCTTCGAGTTAAGTCATCTCTCAAGTGTTTGGTGCACATTCATGCCCAGCCTGGCACTGGAAGCCTGATGTCACCTTGTTTTCCTAACGGTCCTGTGAGGCACACAAGCAGCTAGTGAGCCACATGCCCCATTTTATAGTTGAGATCATGGAAGTTCAGCGAGGGGATATGACGTGCCCAAAGTCACCCCGCGAGCCAATGGCAGGACGGGGATTCAAACTCAGGCCTGAATCCAAAGGCCATGCCTATTCCATCTGCATCCCGGGTTCTCAGTCTCCTTCCTCCCATCTCCCTGGGGTGTCTGGCCTGGGGAGGCCAGCCTCTCTTTGACACAGTTTGAGGCTGGACTGGCCCCTCTCAGGCAGCCCCTTTATGCCTCTAGCACTAAAGCCACGCAGTGTCCTAGATTTAAGGGGCAAGTAAGGCTGAGGATGCACTTTTGCTATTGGTGGGACTCTTCTCAGGGCATCTGGTTGAGCCAGCTGACACTCATCGGGGGACCAAGATGTGTTCCCCTGCCCTGCCCTCATCACGCTCCGTGACCTTGGCATGGTTGAACCTTTCGCTGGTCAGGCTGGCTCTACTGCTAAAGGCGTCTCTGGGGGTAGGGCAGGTGTTGTTGACTCTGAGTGAGGATAACGAGCCGTCCTCACGTAGCTTGCCCCCCTCGGAGTTACCATCTGCTCGGCAGGAGCGCCTCCTAGGCCTCTGGGGGCTGCCCCCGCCCCCCACCCCGCACCCGTCTCCTTCCCAGGATCCAGAACCCGCTCCTTGGCCCTGAAGCCGCAGTCCCTCCCCAGGGCTTGTGGCTGTTGCTGGAAGGGAGGTCCCCGAGGGCAGAGGGCTGGAGGCCTGGGACGCCCCTAGCGGAGGCAGCAGACGCCAAGGGCCGGGCATCCCGGGCGAGCCCGGCGTAATGAGGCGCTCCCCTCTCCTCGGGGAGGCGGGGCCGCCTCCTCCCACCCCCCTCGCCTCCACCCCGAGGCCCCGGCGGGCCCAGTCCAGAGCCCCGGCGGGGAGTGGGGCCTTCCAGGGCGAGTGCGAGGGCCAAGGGGCCGGGCCCTGAGAGTCTAAAGTGGGCGCGCGGTGATGGGGGCAAGGGGCTCCCCGGTTGGCGCCGGCGGGGGAGATGGGTCCACAGGTCCCGGGTGCCCTCTGACTTCTGCCCCCGCCTCTGGCCTCCAGGGAGACCGGCATCCATCTGTCCTTTCCCGTGTGCGCGTCGTGGGTCCCCCGCCCCGCCGCTCCCGGAACCCCCCGGAACCCCCCCCACTGCTCCTCTCCCCGGCCCCCAGCGGGAGGCAGAGCCGGGGGGCTGGTCCCGCGCTCAGCCGCCGCGCACCGGCTCGGGACCGGGTAAACACTCGCAGGAGGGAGTGCGGGGGGGCGGGGGGGGCGGGCGGGGAGGAGGCGCCCGGAGGCCTCCGGGCCGGGGCGGGGCTCACCGGGGGCCCCCTCAGCGCGGGCAGGACGCGGGTGCCGGGGGCGGGGGCAGGAAGCTAGCCGCGGCCCCGTGACGTCGCCCGGCTTCCAGGGATCGCTCCCCGCGGCCCGGGTCCGCTCCTCCCCGTGCTCCCCCCGGGCCTCGCCTCCGCGCCGTGGCCGGCATATCTCGCTCGCGGGCTGGCTCCGGGTCCCAGCTGCCTCCTGCTCCCTCTTCCTCTCCTCCTTCCCTTTCTCTCCCTCGCGATCCTCCTCTCCTGTCGCCCCCCGGCCTCTCCGATCCGAGCTGGACATTCCCTCCGCCCCTGCTTCGCCGCCTCTCTCTTTTCCTTCCTCTCCCTGTTTCTTTCGGTCAATCCCCCTGCCTCCCATTCTCTCTCCGTCTCCGCTTCTCCCCGCGTCTCCCTCCGGGTTTCTCGCTCCCCCCTCCCTCCGGGCATCCTCTCCCGCCCCCCGCTCCTCGTCCCCCGTGCCCTCCCTCCTCGTTCGCTCCCCTCCCCCTCCGCCCCTCGCAGCCCCGCCGCTCGCAGCTCCGCCGCTCGCGGCTCCCCAGTCAGCCTCCCCGAACCGGCGCCGCCGCCGCCGCAGGACCGGCCTGCCCGGCTCCCCGGGGTGCGCCCTCCACGGCCCCGCGCCCTTGGGGCTCGCCGGCAAAGCCTCCCCCCCGCCTCCGGCTCTCGGCCCCGCCCGGCCCGGCCCCAGCCCCGCGCCCGAGCGCGCCGAGGATGTGAGTCCCGCTCGCCTCTCCCGGAGAAGCAGTCCCCGGCGCGCCGAGCCGCAGCGCAGCGCAGCGCAGCCGCGGGCGCTGGCGGGGTCGTTCGGGCCGGCCGCGCGCTCCCGATCCAGCGGCGCCCCCACCCCACCGCCACCCCACCGCCACCCCACCGCCGCCCCGGGCCTCTAGCCGCCGCCGCCGCCGCCGCAGCCGCTCGTGGGCCGTTCCCGGCCGGCCGGCCCCGGCCCCAGCGCCGCTGACCCTGTCCGCCGCGGGCGGGGACGCGGGCGGAGGAGGTGCCGCCGCGGAGCCCCCGGACGCGAACATGTCGGAGGTGCTGCCCTACGGCGACGAGAAGCTGAGCCCCTACGGCGACGGCGGCGACGTGGGCCAGGTCTTCTCCTGCCGCCTGCAGGACACCAACAACTTCTTCGGCTCCGGGCAGAACAAGCGGCCGCCCAAGCTGGGCCAAATCGGTCGGAGCAAGCGGGGTGAGTTAGCGCCCCCCTCCCCGATATCCGTTTCTTGGGCACCCAGGCCTGGTGGCGGTTCGCTAGGGTCTCCGGCACCCGGGGGACCGTTCCGACCCACTAAAATCTCGTCGCGCGGAATTGCGGGGAGTGGGGGGTGGGGGACCCCGCACTGCGGGTTCAACTCCAGATGGTCTTGGGAACCCCTCCCCCTCAGCCCGATCCGCGTTTGGGGTCACCCAGGGGGCGTGGCGGCCACTCGCTGCCGCAGGGGGCTGAAAGGTTTTCCCAGGTCCCTGCCCGTGCCAAAGTTTGCTTTCTGATTTCTATCCCTTGCCCCCTTTTGCGCCCCCTTTGCGCAATGTAATTGCAGCTGCACTCCATCTACAACCCGTGTGTGTGTGTGTGTGTGTTGGGGGGGGGGGTCCTAGGGCTCCCCAGGGGACGGCGTGGGGACTGCGGGGGGAGGCCCGGTTCCTGTGGGGAATGCGAGGGGCTTTCGGATCGCGGGGGCTTTTCATTGTTACTTGGCAGAGGGAGGGGGTTTGCGGAGTCCGGGCACTAGGCGCGGGAGCTGGAAAAGCCCGGGAGAGACTCGGACTCGGCGAGGCTCCAAGAGGAGCTCCAGAGGCTCGGGGACCAAGAAGGAGACCAACAGTCGCCGGGAGAGACCGAGGCGCAGAGACAGGGAGGGAAGCCGCGGGCGGAGGCAGGGGGAGGCCGGGATGAGCAGAGCCCGAGACACAGCTCGGGAGAGAGCTAGCTGGAGCCGGGGAGACTGCGAGCCGGGGACGCGAGTCTAGGGGGGACGCAGGAGTCGCTGAAACAATGAGGGCGACCGACACCACGGACAGAGAGAGAGAGGCCCGGAGACCTCGACAGGTGACCATCGCTCTGGGAGATGATGGAGAGACCGAGGATGGGCAGGCTAGGCAGAGATGGAGAGAGAGGCGAATGCGGAGAGGCGGGCAGCGAAGAGAGGCTCCGACCTCGGGAGCGGCGAGTGCGGAGAGGCCAAGTCCGCCCGCAGGCAGCGCGGAGGGACGGGGCGGTGAGGAGGGGGGGAGGCCCTGACCCCAACGAGGCCTGAACCCCCCGACGGGCTGTACGCTGTGTGACCGGCCCCCTGACGTCCCCGCTGGCAAGCGCATCTCTGAACCTCCCCCCCCCCCCACGCCTTGCCTGCCCCCCTCGCAGCGCTCGGGGCACCCGGGAAGGGTCCCAGACCCCTCTCAGACCCCGGAGCCTTCTTTCGAAAGAGATGCGCCCTCCAGGATGAGTGGCGGTGGGGATGCCGCGGGGTGAGGACCAGGCCGGTGCGCGCCCGGGCTGCAGGCTGGGCTGCGGGTTTCGTGCCCTTTCGGCTTCCTGTTCTCAGAACCGTGCTGGGATGCAGCCTCGGGGTGGCGGTGGGTCAGAGGAAAGCCGCAGAGGGACCCCTGGCTGAGACGAGGAGGATGGGGCTGTATCGCCGGGCGTGGAGCCCCCCGCCTCTCTTTCCTTCCGCCTCTGCGCGTCGGAGACCCCCCCCCCGCCCCCCGCCAGGCCCAAATAAGAGCGCTCACTTCTGCTTTTCTACCCCTTTTTTTGCAGTTGTTATTGAAGATGATAGGATTGATGACGTGCTGAAAAATATGACAGACAAGGCACCTCCTGGTGTCTAACTCCCCCAAAGACAATGAGTTAAGGGAGAGAATAAGAGTGAGACCGGCGGTTAACAGTTATTGGCAAAAAGAGCGTGAAAAGAGAAAGCACTTTGAAATTGATTACTAGCTTACTACCCGCGAGGAAATCAACAACCTGTATCCGTGTCAGGCCGGGAGACAGATGAGGCGTGAGAAGGAGAAGGCTCTGGGCTCCTTTGCAAAAATAAAAATGAAAAAAAAATTTTTAAAAATTAAAGAAATCACTATATACACACATGTAAAGAAATAAAAAGAAGTCTCAGTTGCAGCTATTTGTCAAAGTTAATATCCATTTCTTTTTATATACAGTGAATATTGCGCAATTATAGATCTGGATTTTGAACCACTTAAATAATGAAGCAACACCAGGTGTTTTGAGGTGTTGGCATTCTTCGCTGATTTGGCTGTTCCCAATGTTTACATTATTTAATCTTGCAAAAATGATTCTGTGCACTTGGATGTGAAATGCTGTCAAGTTATATTATTTTTATGTTGTTATCTTTGGATGTACAAAACAAATCAGAAAATGATCTCTATAGATATTCCATCCTATTTTGGTCATCTTTTGAAGTTATCAAGAGTGTGTTTAAAACAAGAAGAGAACTTTTCTAAGGAATCATGCATAGAAGGAATCCTTGCTTTATTTTAAAATGAATTGTAAAGCTTGTGTTTCTTTGTTGCTACAAGCTATTTGCCCAAGTTAATGCAAACGAACACATTTTATATGTCAGGAAAAAAAAACATAAAAAAAGCAAAGAAAAAAAAATGCTTGAGCTTTTTCTAACCTCTCCCTGCAGTCTGTTGTGTGAGCAGCCTGTTTTTTTCTCTAATATTGTGTCAGTTTATTCTCTTTAATGGACTGTAAAAAAAAAAAATGTAATCACAAGAGTGCCAAATATCTTGAAATGCCAAAAGGCATTTTGGTTTCTTTTCTTTTCCCTGTGCTCTGAGTCCACGTAAAGGAATGCTTGGAGTGTCTTTTTCTGTTATTTATAGGGGTTCTCTTAAGGCACACCAGCTGCCTGTTTTGCATGGTATTTGCAAAAATGCCTCTTGCGTGAGGAAATCTTCTACCATTTTTTTGTTGTTGTTGTTGCAACTTTGGACCTCAAGAGGTTTCTTCCTTACCCTACCCTGTTTGTCCCCTCTTTTCTTAATTCGATATTCTGTATGTTGCACCTTTAACCAGCACACAGGGCTATTTCTCCAATGTACAATAAAAGAACTGTTCCTGTGTCTCACTGCTCTCTTTTCTCAGCTTCGGCTGGGAGGGAAAGGGGGACTTGCCTTTTGTCTCTGCTGGCTGAAGACAGGGAGGAGGGGACAGTAGCTTTGGTTGGAGTGGCAAAAAGTCGGTGTGGAGGCCACTGTGGGTTGGGCTCAGATGATAGAAAAGACAAGCTGGATTGGCAAGGCCATCCCCGAAGGGCAAGTGCATCCAATTTGGATTTGCACTGGGCTCTCCCTGCTTCCCTGAAGCTTCCCTGGTGGGGTGTGCTGGCTGGCAGGGAGTCAGTCTTTCGAAAGGCCAAGTTTGGAGGCTGGCAGACTTGGGTTCAAATCCCAGCTCCTTCACTTCCTGCCTCTAGGCATTCGAGAAGTCCCCTCAGTTTTGGTGGCTTAGACAGTAAAGAATCCGCCTGCAATGCAGGAGATCCGGGCCGGGTTTGATCACTGGGTCGGGAAGATCCCCTGGAGAACGGAATGGCAACCCGCTCCAGTATTCCATGGAAAATCCCATGGAGCCTGGCAGGCTGCAGTCCATGGAGTTGCAAACTATCGGACACGACTGAGTGACTAACACACACTTCACTTCCTGAAGCCTCAGTTTTCAAATCTGTGAAATGGGGATAATGCAGCTCCCACCTCAAAGGTTTTTGGGAGGATGAACACAGCACCCAGCACACGGCAGCACTCAGCATGGAATGCCCAGACCCTCCATCATGGGCCACCCCTCCTCAAAGGCAGGACTGAGGGGGAGCTGTTCTCTTTGCCCGGCACCTTCGTCTTCCCAAGTCCCCAGGTCCTTGTTGGAGGGAGGAGCCTGGTCCTCTGGGGCCCACAGCCCGATTCCATTGTCTCAGGCTTCCCAGACTCTGCGGCCCTCCTTCAACCACAGCTCAAAAAGTCTCCTTATGAAAACAATTCTCAGCCCCGTGTTGGACTCAGGACAGCTAACAGCAGTGGAGCAAGCCCCCAGGGGAGGAGGGGTTCGGAGAAGGACTGGCTGAAGAAAGGCCGGGAGAGGTTTTTTTTTTTTCCTCCTGGGCTGTTCGGCATCCAGGAGTTCCAGCGCCGGGAGCTTTTAATGTGTTTGTTGTAAAACTGTCAGCCGGGGAGTCACAACACAGCTCTTGGTGACAGGAGCCTGAGGGTGACTCAGACATCAGGTAAGACAGGCCTGGGGGGAGCGGGGAGGAAGAGGGGTTCCAGAGGGCCTGTGGGGAGTGGGGGGGGGTGGCTCATCCTGCTTCTCAGGAAGTGGAGGCCCAGAGCCTGGGGGAGCCCAGCGGAGTCCCTCTCTGTCATCATCAGGAATGGCAGGCCAAGTGGAGCTGGCGGGGCCTTCAGGATGCCGGGGGGAAGTGCCAGCTTGATCTTCCCACAGGCGAGACTCTGTTCCCAAACCTGGCCCTCGTCCCTCGTCCCTCCTGACCCCAGAGAATCCCAGTGCCCAGGGTCGATGACTCTTAGGCACCGCGGAGCCCTGCTTTGGAGAGTGAGGGGCCGGGCCCACCCTCTGCGCAGCATCAATTTGCCAAGAGGGGTAGGAGCCAAAGGAAAAGATTCTTTCAGAAGGTAGGTCTCTGTCCGCACCCAGCAGTAATTACCACTTACGTGATCAAAGCACCGTGCAATTATGCAACGCCCTCCCTTCTGAGCCTCACAGAATCCAAGCCCAGCAGCCCTGGAGACCCACAGCCCTCCTGCCTCTTCAGCAGGTGAGGGACTCGACACCCCAGAGGGGCGAAAAGGACGGCACGGCATCCGCACTCATTGAGCCCTTACTGTAGGCTGCGCTCACCACAGCTCCATGAACCGTGTCCTGATGAGACAGGAGAAACCAGGGCTGGGAGACATTAGGTGACTTGTAAGAGGTCACTCCCCGTGGCTCCGTGGGCAAAGACTCTGCCTGCAATGCAGGAGACACAGGAGATGTGTGTTCGATCCCTGGGTCGGGAAGATCCCGTAGAGAAGGAAATAATAACCCACTCCAGGATTCTTGCCTGGGAAATTCCACGGACAGAGGGGCTTGCTGGGCTACAGTCCAAAGGGCCGCAAAGAGTCAGACACGACGGAGTGACTGCACGCACAGACGCACGCACGAGGTAGCTCGGCTAGTAAATCGTTGAAGCACACTTGAAGGCAGAGTGCAGGCTCCAGGATGGGGATACGGAGTCATCTGACCCCGGGCTCAGTCCCAGCTGCAGCCATTGTCTTTCAGCCTTAAAGATCCTTTTGTTGGTTGATTTTTCTCAGCCTGGGTTCTCCCGCTATTCTGACAACAGATAACTGCATCAGGGGTCAGAGGGAGGCAGGGCTGGGATGTGGTCAGCTAAGATCTGAAGCTGCCCTCTGCTGGGAAGTGGGGAGCCTGTGAGCCCTCGGGCAAGGCTCCGGTCCTTCTTGATAAGTGATGTATCAAAATGTTCCTGCTGGAGGCCTTCCCCTTTGCCAAGGTAGGATTCTCAGGCTGGGAAGGCTGAATCTGCCCTTCCAGAGTGAAAGAAGGATATAAATCTTTTAAATACACTGGAACATTGGGGCAAACATTTGTCGAGAAGGCACTTTGGGGACTGGGCAGATGTTGAATTATTATACCCAGGGTGGGATATGTTCGAAGCACCTAGATGGTCAGGTGGCCATAAATATGGAAAGGGCCACTCGAGGTCCGACGTGGGGGAGGGTGTCTTGAAGCCTGCAGGCACGGATCGAGCATCCAGGGTTGCATTATTCCAACTTCACTAATTGAAGGCTGTAATAAGCATCCAACTCTCTGGATTCCACCTCCTTGGCCTGTCCAGGCTGACAGCCTGAAGGAACATCCAAAAGCACCTCTAAGAGGGGGAAGTTGGCAAACTAAGTTTTAAAACAAAGACTCGGATGAAGGGGCTAGTGAGGGTACTTCTGCAGACAGCAGGCAGCTGGTTCTTGGCCTCAGGACCTCGCAGAAGCGGTAGACTTCCGGCTTCCCTGGTGGTCCAGGGGTTAAGAATCCACCTTCAAACGCAGCGGATACAGGTTTGATCCCTGGTTGGGGAGCTAAGATCCCACATACCTTGGGCAACTAAGCCCGCGTGCCACACGGGAGAAGCCCTTGTGCGGCAGGGAAAGATACCGCGTGCCAAGCAAAGATCCTGTGTGCCGCAGCTAAGGTCCCACACAGCCAAGCAAAGATCCTGTGTGCCGCAGCTAAGGTCCCACACAGCCAAGCAAAGATCCTGTGTGCCGCAGCTAAGGTCCCACACAGCCAAGCAAAGATCCTGTGTGCCGCAGCTAAGGTCCCACACAGCCAAGCAAAGATCCTGTGTGCCCCAGCTAAGGTCCCACACAGCCAAGCAAAGATCCTGTGTGCCGCAGCTAAGGTCCCACACAGCCAAGCAAAGATCCTGTGTGCCGCAGCTAAGGTCCCACACAGCCAAGCAAAGATCCTGTGTGCCGCAGCTAAGGTCCCACACAGCCAAGCAAAGATCCTGTGTGCCGCAGCTAAGGTCCCACACAGCCAAGCAAAGATCCTGTGTGCCGCAGCTAAGGTCCCACACAGCCAAGCAAAGATCCTGTGTGCCCCAGCTAAGGTCCCACACAGCCAAGCAAAGATCCTGTGTGCCGCAGCTAAGGTCCCACACAGCCAAGTACACAACTTTTCTTTTTGTTTTTTTTAAAAGAAGGGGTAGATTTCAGGGTGGCTCCTGGGCACACAGAGGGCATGAGTTTGGGACTTGCGTGACTTTAATTTGAAACCTCTCTTACATACTTTC